GAGGAGGTTTTCCTTCTATGTGAGTGCCAAATGTACCTGGGAGATCTCCCAGGCATCGTGTGCTCACCTGATCGCACATGCCGACTTCCTCCGCTCCCCAAAGACACTCCCTCTTGGGACCTATGCACGTTAATACATCCTGTACCAAACCAAAAGTTTCTGTCTTCTTTAACTCAGTATTCCTTACAGGGCGTGGTTAGGGCTACAGGAGATGCTTCATGAAATCCGTTCGTGAAATTTTTAATTAATTCATTTTATTTTAAAATCCAGTTCTTATACGCTGCATACTGCTACTGAGTAAAACGCCTGAGTATGGTGGTGAGGGGGCAGCTCCGCAGCTAAGGCAATCCACACACTACTCCCAGGCCCATCTAGCCCTTTCTGAGCTCTCTCCCCAGCTTGCCTCTGTTTTTTCCCATGGTTCATTTCTGTATTTATTTTAGGTTTAACCTTTCAAAATTTTCCAGTGTGTCACAAGGGACCTCCCAAGGGGCATGTCTGGCCCTCGGAAGTCTGTGCTATGATTTTTAAATACTTTTGTTTCCTTTCTGCTGGGTGTTTTCCAGATTGCACATATAGGTGATATGTTCTGATCATAAGCTGTATAGCAGCCCTGTGAGAATTCTGAAAGAATTGCTGTTACTCAAGGTAAATGATGCCTCTGAGGAAGAAAGAGGTAACCAGGACCCCTTCTCTCTTGGTCCTACTTACCTGCAAGAGTTTCTGGCCCAGCAGTGTGATTCCGACTGGTGGAAGGTAAATGTGTTTCTCGAATGTGGCAAGGAGGGGGCATTTTATTGACTTTCTCTCTCGGCAAGGAGACTAGGAGCAAAAACAAACCCAGGCTTAAAAAGCTGAGATGTGTGAATATGAGGTGCTGGGAACAGCTGCATGTTCTCTTCAGAGTATAACCTTCCTGAAAGCAATATTAAAACCTTTCTCTCCTCTTCACATGGACTTACATAACATACTTAATAAATTTCAAGCAACCAACGACCTTGAAAGTAAACAGGATGATCACAGCTAACCAGGTTAACAGTCTTCTTAGAAATCAGATGTTTGCTGCACTGAGTTGCTCTGTCATTTCTAAAAATAATAAGGCCATTCTTGAGGCTCACAGTCCTATTATCTTATCCAATAATTTTTAATAAAGTGGGATTTGATAGCAAATAAGCACCTTCAATTTAGAGCTGGGAAAACTGAGGGGATACCAGACCAGAGATTGAAGCTGGGGCAGAACTGGAAATGTGACTTAACTATCCCCCCTTTCAATGACATTTTCTGTCTCCTGGGTCCTCCTTCCTCCAGATCATAATGGACCGACTGGAAAACATATCCATTTGTTTCAAATAGCTAGATACACCATCCCTACTGAAGTGAGCTGTCCCGGCAGATGTGACCTATGGACGCTGGAATGAGAATCTTCTTTGAATATGCAGCTCTTGGTGATTCAGGAGCCGAAGAAGACACGAGCAGCAGCAACGAGGACTTGGCTCTGGTGTCAACTCTCCCAGAGTGCTCTTTCTGAGTCCTTCTCCCATATGAAATATACTTAGTGTCATGGGCCCTAGCTCTCCCCACAATCTCAGCAGAGGTAACACCTTAGTTCCAAAATTGCATTGCTATGAAAACAAAACGCTGCAGTCTATTGGAGATCATTTTCATTCTCATTAAAATTTTTATTGAAATCTCTCAAATGTTGCCAAGAAATAGTTTTTGCAAAAGGGGGTAGGGGAGGGGATAGCTAAACAAGTACATTCAACAAGGGAGCTCCCTCTGCTGGTCTGCAGGAGGTTGATATGTTACAAACACATTCCCAGAGACAAATCTAATTTGCTGGAGAAGTGGACAAAAGACAGGTGTGTTGGGCTTTGCCTCAGGAGAGAAACACTAGAAGAAAAAAAAAATCCATGTCTCAAAACAGAGCACAACATTGCTAAGAAAAGCAAAATTATTTAGAAGCTTCTCCAAAGACATAAGATTTCCGAAACAAAAACTGAATTTATCCACTACAGGGAGCTGCTCCACTCTGCCTTCCCACTCTGCTCTACCTCCAATTACTATAATCCTCTTAGGCCCTTTGGGTGAAGATTAAGTGCTGTTTCCCTTGTCTTTGCCTTCAAGGCTCTTCTTATGGGCTTCTCATCTAGTTAGAGAAGAAAGATCCAAGGAGTCACTGGAATGAAGTCTTTCCAAAGAGTCATCAAAGAATAAAGTCTTTGGTTAGTCAGTCCCGCAGAGTGGAAAGGGCAAGGCCTGCGAGTCAGGTGACTCTTTCCTTCTTCCCAGGTCTGCTTCCTCATCTGTAAAGTGGGTCAGACCAGCTGATATGGAAAACTGCTAGCAGTTCATGCTACGACTCTCATACTGGACAGATAAATTTAAATAACTGTATTTGCTCTTGTGTCTTTAGGATATAAAACCCAAGATCACACAGGGAATCCTCCAAGTGAGAAGAGAGGCTGAGCACATGTATCTCACTTGTATCAGATGAGAGCTCCACCAAATCTAGAACAGATGTGGCAAAGCCAAGTGGATTCCAGGTTGGGAAGACCTCAAAATCAAAGCAGAACTCACGGGGGAGGGGCCCACCATGGGCAACGCATCCCATTAACTCAAACGGTTGAGTCCGTCTAATCTTGGCATTGTTTCTCCCCATCCTTCCTCACAATGGAAAGGCTTTCTGATTTCCTAGATTCTGTAGGACCTTCTCCTGCCATATCCCCAGAATTATGCCTGATCGCATGCATGACATGACTGAAGCAAGGGCTAATCACCCAGATGTCATGTCTAAAAGCCACAGTTCCTGGATCCTACTGGCCATCGCCAACTCTTGATTATCCAGGGTAATGGTGAAAGGCTTTGTTGCTGATTAACCAAAGCCATGGATAGTTAAAAGCCTATGCAAACTTGGCACGGCTTCATAGTATTTATTACAATTTGCCTTAATTGCCAATTGATCGGTATTATACAGGTAGTCCCCGACTTACGACGTATTCGAGTTGTGACGAGCTGCACCTACGACCGTCCCTTTTGGGGGTACATCTTATCATTAGTAATATGTTGCAGTGCGTAATTTGCTGATTTTATTATTCTCAGATATTCACTTTTAGATGTTCAATTTTATGATTTACTTTTCAAAACACTGCTGGATTTATAAAGATACTGATAATAAGAGGCAATAATAATGAAAATTAAAAAAAAAAAGTATCCGACTTACGTCAGTACTGATTTATGAAGGAGTTGTCTGAACGGAACCCTGCCGTAAGTTGGGGACTACCTGCGTACACTTTACGAAGAAAGAAAACTGGGCGGTTTAGCAAGAGAAGTGGAAGAGAGACACATTATTCACAGAGAAAAAAGGGGGTGGGGTGGGGGGCGAACAGAAAAGACTCTTAGTTATACCAGGTGATCTACAAAGTCACCTCTGGCCCAGAATAGACATACCGATAACTCAGCAGATGATTTCCAGATTTCTTTTTCACCCTTTCCCCCTCGCCTGCTATCTGCCATTGCAAGGGTTACCAAACAGTACAATGGACAAAAGGTAGAAGGAAAAGCAAAAGGCACAGCTCATCTAGAAACTGGGTTATCAGTCGCAGAATAATCCAGGGGTAACTTAGGTATGGCCACTTTAATTCTTCTCTGTGCCAAGTATTCTAACGATCACCATCAACAGTCTTCTTCACAAAGGTACTACTTTCTACCTCCTTCTCCCAACACGAAGGGTAATCCCTACTGGGGCCCAAGGCACCAAGGCCATCTCTTGGACTCTGCTTGCCTTCACTGCGCTGGGGGAGCCAGGTCGTCGATGCACAAAGCATTGACAACTCAGTTGAAAGGGAATGGAAGGATGTTCAGCCCACAACGCTCCGGACCCCAGCGGCTTTTGAGAGCTCTCACTGGGGGCTGTTCTGTCCACAGGTGTGTTGCTCAGCGTACTGTGTTTTGTACAACATAAAAGAGTTTTAAGTCAGAAGGAAGAGTTTTCTGGGAAGCTGTTTATTTCATTCAGCCTTGTAAATAAACACAAAACAAAACAAACACGAAAGCCCACTTGTCCAGCCCAACAATTTTTTGAAAACCAGGCTTTCCTGCTTAGAGGTGTTACACACACAGTAAAACAAATGAAATCTGTATTCTTTCTATCTTCCTTGGTACTGAACATCACTCTTTGCAGGACAAAGAATGAGTGGTTCTTTCCAAAGTTTAATCCTAACATTGATCACTACTATTTACACAAAGAGCAAAGCTAAGAGAAACATTTTCTCTGGGGGGAGAGAAAGGGTTAGTAGGTAGACAGTACACTTTGTGGACAAACCAGGGAGTTTGTTTATAAAACTCGGGCTATTCTTATCTAAGAAAGAAAGCCAGTCAGAACAGTGATCTCTACCTTCACCTGTAATTACGTTCTAGACACTATATTGTACCTCCTTTACTGCAGAGTTTCCTAAAAATGGAAAGACAGTCACCACCCTTAATCTTCTCCATAACGTATATAAGGTATCATATAGTCTTCCTCCTGGAAGCTACAAACTTTCCCCTTTGGTCACTAGATTCTCATGGAACACGAGAGCAGAAATCTTTCAATACACAGAAACACACACAGACACTCATGACTCTTGCTGCGATGCACGCCTCCCCTGCACCCTTCCACACTGCACGGCACACATGTCTGCGCTCTGGTGACGCCTTCTGGCTAGCTGGAGCTGGGGAGGGAGCCTGGTCCCAGTCCCTCGTATGTGATATGAGGGTGAGATCATTAAGGAAGAGAGAGGTGTCGATTGGGGCAAACATCAGGCAGTGGGTGATATCATTGCTGTCAGACGGTCCTCCTAAGTCCTGGAGGAGTGTCAGCTTGATTTAGAGGGGATCATTAATCTCTTGAAGGTGGATCTGTTAGCTGGATAGGTGTTAGTTGTATGGTGTGCTCTGGGGAACCAGGTTTGAAAGGACTGGTGGTGGAGTGAGTGAAGTTGTGGCCGATGGGTATAAATTACCTGGGCATGCAGTGAAGCGGGATAGGTGAAAGCAGGAGGAGGTAGAGCAGGCGCTAACTCCGCTGGGTACAGAGGGTACGGGGCCCACACTTCAGGGCTACTGGGGTAAAGTGCAGGCACTGTGAGCTCATCTGCAAGAAAAGAATAAGGGAGAGTTAGTGGTTACCAGACAGCCGGTTTCAATTCAGAAAACAAAACACCAATAACCCCAAGCCCCAATCAATCTCAGAAGTCAAATTACTCTCCTTCTTTTAATAACCTGTTGGCTGTGGTCCCCCAAACTCTAAGTAAGGGAACAGTAAATACAACATAGAAAAGCAACAAGCATCCACCGCTGCCTGCCTCGCCTGCTGAGATTTCTGGCCCACGCTCCACCTTGGACACTCGGATGTTTTTCGAACTGTAGCTGGGGGAAACGGAGAACCACGGGGATTTCCTGCACAAAACGGCAAATGCGGCCCCCACAAAGAGAAGACCAAAGAGGAAGAACCGGTAGGAGACGCTCCACAAGAACCCACTTCAGATCCGTTGGGAGAATAATGGCTTACTGGTAGGACCCTGACAGACCAGGAGAACTCTAAGACTTTTTGGTTTATCAGCATAATCACTACTGACAAATAAATCATGATCATCAAACTTTTTCCATTTAACCCTCAGAAACACACGGCCCAACACGGTTTTGCATCATAGGGCATTTTAGATATTAAAAATTCAGACAACGGGAGAAAAACACCTTGGGTATCCTGGTTAAAGTTAAGCTCCACAAAGATGCAAACAAAAATGTTTTCAGTTGCTGCTGACACTGACTGTATTTTTTAGAAGGAAAAAAGGGAGCCACGTAGCCAACTGTCTGGCCTACATGTTCCTCAGGCGGCTCTGATTCCGTTCAGGTCAAGCTGCAGTTTGCCAGATTGAAGGGTGAGTGCCTGGGCCTCAGAGTGTATCAGGAAGCAATCCATTAAAAGTAAGAGCAAACACATGACAGAGCTTCTCAGCAGAGGCAAAAATAGCATCAGTCAATAGTTACGAATCTGGACCCCGTGAAGCAGCAACCTCGGTATGTGCTTTTATCACCTGTCAAAATCTGAAATCAAGGAGGTGCGGGATGCTACCCAGGATGCTACCCCTTCCTGAGGGAGTCAGGAAAAGGTGACTCGATAAAGCCATTAGTGACGCTGCCATTCAGGACTGTCCAGAAGAGATCAAGAGTACATGTGACCAAGGTCAACAGAATCTCTTCACACCTTCCCCACCACCAAAGAAGCCATTCCAGGCCAGGAATGAGAGCCCAGCAAGGCAGAACCCAGGTCTTGCCCTGACCCCCAAAAAGCTGGCTCTGGGCTGGGATTTCAGTACGGGAAGCAGGCTAGCTGAGCCTGTGGGCACGTGCGAATGTGGTGTACGAGGCGGGGTGAGGCTTTTCGCAGCCAGCCTACACGGCAAGCACTGCTGACAGGATATGGCTGATGACTGTCCATTCAGAGGGCAGACTGTGCTCACCTCCAAACAGAAAGACCATCCCAGAAATGTGGCTTAATACACTGTGGCTGGCTGTCCTTGCCTCCCTCCTTCTCTCAACAAGGCAGTTGAAATTCCCACCCCAGAACTTGGTGAGGGGAATACTGACTGCTTGTGTATCTAAGCTGCAGAGGAAAACAGCAGCATCATGAACGTCTTTTGAAATGACCAGGTCCACATGACCTACTGAAGTTCAAGGGTATGTAGGTGTTTGTGGCCCCAAGCTTAGGAAAGCGCTCGCGGAGGGCTTGCGAGAAGGCTTACCAGGCCCTTGTGTTTCCTGTCACAATGAGACCATATGATTTCTATTAGAGCAGCTTTTGTGGGAGCCCAGCTATGGAAACTAACTGCTGGAAGAACCAATGCCTCAGATTTTAAACAAACAACCATTCTCAGGAACTGCATGCTATTATTGTTGTTGTTGTTATTTTAGCTACTATGCTATTTTAAGACATTCTGAGTCTTTTAAAAAAAACTCAAGAGAGTCCCAAGATCCAGCATGCTAATGTTTTGTCCATGCTTGCCCAGCCTGCTGTGGCAGCAGGAAGACTATGAATGCCATCACAGGGATGTGCTTGGCCTGCCGCCTTTCAGTGTCTGTGGTCAGTCGTCCCTCGTCATTCTCCTGCCTGACAGGAACACGCAAACTGGGGGGGCTTTTACCTAATCAACAGGCGTTTCCTTTAGAAGGCTTTAACAATGAAATGAATATAGTGTAGGTGTTAAAACGAAACAACACAGAGATATCTGGTCTTGAAGAGAGAAATAACGGAGGTAAGGTGAAGTCAGGCTTCAATGGCAGGCTAACAGATTATGATTCCCGGTCATTTCCACACTTAACATTGGGTTTATAATGATGCTCAGAGTCAATTCACGGATTAATTTTTGACTAAAACCTAGCCTGGCAGAATCGAGGATAGGTATCTGAATCCCCTGCACCCAAAGCGGTTGAGCAGTAGTGGAGACAGGCAGTCAAGCAAAGGCCTAAGAGAAATTATGGTGAACTTACACTCCATCGACCCCTTAATACTTGATTACCTCCCCATCTTCCCTTTGTGGAAGAGTCTAGAATTACTGTAAGCCTCAAGAGACACAGCACGTAGTAGGTTGGCCAGGAGGAGGATGAGTGTGTTAATATGGTGAAAGGTCACTGGGGATTTTTCTTTCGGAGAGAACAGGGAGAGGCAGGCAGTGAGGGTGAGTTCAAATAACTAACTTTCGAGAGCTGGCTAGTGAGAGCCCAGCAAGGCAGGACCCAGGTCTTGCTCATGTCTGCGCCCTGGGCCAGCTGTGAGCCTGCCATTAGTGTCCAGTAATGCTTGTTGAATTGGATCATATCTGATGAGAAAACTTCTAAAAGCTGTTCAAAGTTATACCATTATTTTCTTTGTTAAAGAAACTTAGGGAAAATCCTTAAGTTCTAGATCTAAAATTTCCCAATCTTTGCTGTATTTGTTGTGCACGCGCTCGCGCGCACGCACACACACAATTTGCTCAAAAGGAGGCTCAAACTAGAGGAAATGTCACAAACCAGCGACTTTCAAAGTTAAAATAAAAGCAGTGGAAGCCTTTCTTCAAATTAATTTTCCTCAGAAACTCCTGTTAATAAACATGTAGCTGTTTTGATTGAATTGGTGGTGGTGGTGGTAGGGGCAGCTGGAATCTCCCAACCCCTGCGGTAGTCCCTGAGATACACTGGGGTTCCAGAGAACACAGTTTGAAAACGGCTCTTACAGCTGCTCTCCGGAACCAGTTTTAAAAGTAGGCTCCTCTTCAAAGTCTCTTTAAGTTTGAGGAAGGGAGGGTTGACAGTGGCCAGAGCAGCAGGGAAGAAAGAAACAAAGAACAATGGAACAACTCGGATGGAACAAAACAGGCTCTCTGGACAGACATGGACTTCAGTGCAAAAAAGTTACCTTGGAATGCAGACGGAGTCCCTGAGTGACCCTCACAATAAAGGGCTTGTCTTAGTTATCTAAGTGCTGCTATAACAGAAATACCACAGGTGGATGGCTTTAACAAACAGAAATTTATTCTCTCACAGTCTAGTAGGCTGGAAGTCCAAAGTCAGGGCGCCAACTCTAGGAGAAGGCTTTCTCTCTCTGTTGGTTCTGGGGGAAGGTCCTCGTCATCAATCTTCCCCTGGTCTAGGAGCTTCTCAGCACAGGGACCCCAGCTCTGCTTTCTTGGTGGTAGGAGGTTCCCCCGTCTCTGTTCGCTTCTCTCTTTTATATCTCAAAAGAGACTGACTTAAGACACAGCCTAATCTTGTAGACTGAGTCCTGCCTCATTAACATAACTGCCTCTAATCCTGCCTCATTAACACCATAAATCACCAAAAAAAAAAAAAAAAACCCCAGACCTGTTGCCATTGAGTTGATTCTGACTCCTAGTGACCCTATAGGATTGACAACCCATAGGAAAATCACATCAGATCACAAAGTGGTGGACAATCACACAATACTGGGAATCATGGCCACAATTCAATCCTTAACAGGGCTGTACGCAGAAAAAACTGACCCAGCAAATGTAACAGGTGACATAATAAAAAGACTGTAAATGAACTGGGTGGAGCTAATCACTCCTTCTTCCATGCTCCTGTAGCCCTTAGCACTGTCATTTCAGTCAGTGCTTCTCAAAGTGGGGTACCCCAACCAGAAGCATCACCCTGCAGAGCTTGGCTCCATCCCAGACAGACCTACAGAATCAGAAACTCCGCTGGTGTGGTCCAGTTGACTGTGTTTTAAACAAGCCCTCCAGCTGACTCTTGTGTACTCTCAAGTCTGAGAACCACTGCTGTGCAGTTATTTTATCTTCTTGTATTTCTCTCCTACTGTATCATCACCCCCTTGAGCAAAGTGTTGGTGCCCTGGTGGTGCAGTGGTTAAAAGCTTGGCTGCTAACCAAAAGGCTGGCAGTTTGAATCCACCAGCTGCTCCCTGGAAACCCTATCGGGCAGTTCTCCTCTGTCCCGTAGGGTGGCTATGAGTCGGAATCAACTCGACAGCAACAGGTTTGGTTTTTTGGTGTGAGCGAAGTGTTTTGCTTCCAAAGAGCTCAGCATAGTACTAGTTACACAGCAGTTTGTTAAATGAATGAATGAATGACACACTCCAGGAGAGAAAAAATGCAACCGAAAGCAATGATTCTAGACTTGTTTTGTGAGAGAAACTAGGAAAGCCAAAGCAGACCCAGCCTGACATCTCCTGCCTGGCTCAGAGTAATGTTTACCTGTCCTTACAGTTATGAGTCAGAGGCCGAGGGAGAGCAGTCTGACCAGGTGAGGATCATATGTGCAGTAAAAGCAGCCTCACAGTCACCAACATTTCAGTATGAGGCTGAGGACACTCCTAAAACCCGCACATGCTCCTTCGATGGAAGAGGGTATGAGTCAGAATGAGCTATTTGCATTTGTGGACTCTTTTTGGTTGGTTTTTCCACAGAACAAGTCCCTCAGAGGGGCTACCCAAATGAAGGAGGTGGCAGTGGCAGGGGAGCAGTATGGTTCTGATAGGTCTCACCTTCCCAAGTCATTGACCCTTCTGCTCAAACGTAATAGGATGAGAAGGCTGGAAAAAAAGAAGAAACATTTTGCTGCCCAAGGCCCATGGGG